ACACATGTTAACAGAGTTGACAGGGCAGGCAATATACAAGAGAGAGTTTAGCAGAGGAAAGATGAAGAAAGCAGGAGGCACAGGGAGGAATGCAATAGTTAAATGAATAGAGGTAAATACTGTTAACTGTTGGTATATGGAGAGGACTTCAACAATGTAATGAAGTAAAGTGTATGGTTTGTTGAATGTGGAACTGATAATCTGCTCTTCACTCAATTCACAAAATGTTTTTTAAAAAAAAAACTTGAAAAAAAAAAGTATTGAATAAAGCTTGCTTTGTGGACTAACATATGGTCTATTCTGGAGAATGTTCTATGTGCACTGAAAAAGAATGTGTGCTGTGTTGTTGAGTGGAGTGTTCTGTATATGTCTATGAGGTCAAGTTGGTTGATTGTGTTGAAATCATCTGTATCTTTGTTGAGTTTATTTCTAGTTCTGTCCTTTAAAACAGTGGTGTATTAAAACAATGAATTAAAAAACCTAAACAGAAAATTTCAAAAGGAAGCTCAAAAGGAGGAAGTTGTGCTATAATGAAATGTGCAAAGAACTGGAATTAGCAAACCAAAAGGCAAGAATATGGTCTGCATCTTTCAAGCTGAAAGAACTGAAGAAAAATATTTATGCCTTGAAGAGTCCTGGTGGGGCTGTGGGATAGGCATTGGGCTGCTAACTAAATAGTCTGCAGTTCAAAATCACTAGTAGCTCTGAAGGAGAATGATGAGGCAGTCTGCTCCTGTAAAAATTTAGTCTCAGAAACCCTTAATAGGGTCACTATGAGTCAGAATTTACTCCATGGCAGTGGCTGTTTTTTTGTTTCTTTCTTGTTCTTTTGGTTTTGAGTTGCACTATTTAGGATTCTATGGGTAAAAATACTGAATGATACAGAAACATCAAAAGAGGAGGGAAAAACAGAGTCACTATACCAAAAGGAACTGTTTGATGTTCAACTATTTTGTGAATTATCATATGACTAACAAGTGATGGTATTGAAGGAAGAAATTTAAGCTGCACTGATGTCAGATGGATTCTGGCTAAAAGCACAGACTACCAGAAACGTACTTAACTGTGGTATATTGACTATGCAGAGGCATTTGATTGTACAGCTCTTAACAAATTATGGATAATATTGTGAAGAACTAGTTAGTTCCAGAACACGTAATTGTGCTTACATGGAGCCTACACGTAGACCAAGAAGCAGCTGTTAGAACAGAACAAGGTGATATTGCTTGGTTGGCATCAGGAAGGGTGTGTAACAGATTTGTATCCTTTCACTATATTCATTCAATCTGTATGCTGAGGAAATTATCTAAGAATGTGGACTATATAAAAAAAAAATGTGGCATCAGTATTGGAGGAAGACTCATTAGCAAGCTGTGATATGCAAATATACAACCTTGCTTGCTAAAAGTGAAGAGGACTTGAAACACTCACTGATGAAGATCAGAGACTACAGCATTCAGTATGGCTCATACCTCAATGTAAAGAAAACGAAGTATCCTCACAACTGGACCAGAAAGCAAGAAGGATTTCATTTTACTTAAATTTACTATCAACACCCATGGAAGCAGCAGTCAAGAAACCAAACAATGAATTGCACTGGGGACATCTACTGCAAAAGGCATCTTTAAACTGTTAAAGAGCAAAGAAGTCACTTTGAAGCCTAAGGTGGGCCTGACTCAAGCCATATTTTCAATCACCTGATAAGCATGTGACAGCTGGTTAATAAATAAGGAAGACTGAAAAATTGATGCATTTGAATTAAGATGTTCATGAACTTTACGGAATATACTGCCAGAAGAACAAACACATCTATCTAGAAGAAGTACAGCCAAAATGCTTCCTTGAAGCAAGGATAGCGAGACTTTGTATCACATACTTTGGACATGTTATCAGGAAGGACAAGTCCCTTGAGATAGACACCATACTTGGTTAATATACAGGATTAGCAAAAAAAAAAAAAAAAAAAAAAAGACCTGAAGGAGATGGATTTCCATAGAGGTTATAACAGTGGGATCAAAGAGCAGCTATTGTGAGCATAGCACAAGACCAGGAAGTGTTTTGCTGTATTATACAGTTTGCTATGAGTTGGAATGATTCAAGGGCACCTAACAACATTAACTCCATGAATCCATGCACAACATAAAAGCCTGAAGTCATGTAAGAGATAAAGGCTTAAATCTGGTAGCAGAGAGAATGAAAGGTGTGAGAATGCATCTGGAACAAAGAATTGTGTAGACATCAGAAACTCATTGTATAATTTGTGATGGAGTTGGCAGAAGATAAATGGTATCTTTCCTAGTTGGTGTCATAGATTGAACACCAACCCCCTGCCCCATATGTGTCAACTTGGTTGGATTTGATTCTCAGTGTTTTGGGAGTTACATGATAATTCACCATGATGTGATAAACCAGTAAAAGGATTATCATCCCATCACAAAACTGATGCAAATGGAAGGGAATTCCCGAGGGGTGTGACCCGCACATCTTTTATCTTACAAAGGGAAAAGGAGAGAGAAGAGAGCAGAGGGGGACCTACTACCATCAAGAAACAAGAGCCAGGCACCATGTGTGTCTGTTGGACCTAGAGTTTCTGCGCTGTTAAACTCCAATATCCAGAGAAAGATTGATGATGCCAAGTCACATGGAGATAGAGCTCCAAGAAATGCTGGGCCTATAGTCCAGCAACCAAGTGGCTGGTTTCTAATAAAGAACTCCAGGAGCAACCACCTCGGTGTATGTGTATGGGCATGTGAAAAGTGTGTAAAACTAGGAAAACAGTGGAAAAGGGAAGGAGTTTTACACATTGATTTTTCTAGAGCATTGAAATGTGAATGTTTTATCTGAAATACTTGGAAATTACCTTCTAAAGCTCAGAACGAGAAGTCAGCACTAGAAACAGTCTAGTAGCTACTTCTTACCCAGCCCCTCTCTGCCTCCCCTTCAAGCCACCCTGAGTCTCTTCCTGAGAGGGCACAGACCACATGCTCCATAGGCTGGTTTGTTTCATCAGCAGGCAGAATTCACCTGATAAAGTACATGGATAAAAAGGCGGGCAGATACCTTTAGTAATAATAACTTTCTTTTGTTCTTCCTTCCCTTTGCTCTGGGAGTATCGGGAGTTTTGAAGTTTTCTCAGGACTTCTGTATAGCTATTTATATTACATGCTATAAATCAAAGCAAAAACAAAAAGGGCTACCTATAGTGACTTCTGGTAGCGTAGTGGTTACAAATTGGGCTGCGAACCGCAAGGTCAGCAGTTCGAAACTACCAGCTGTTCCGTGGGAGAAAGATGAGGCTTTCTGCTCCTGTGAAGATTTACAGCCTCGGAAACCCTGCACAGGGTCACTATGAGTCCGTTCCGACTCCACAGCACATAACCACTACCACTACCACAGTGACTAGAATCCTGTAATTCAAGTGGGGTGCTAAACGATTTAGGATTGCCTCTGCTTTACTCTCTCCTTAGTTTTCAGGTAAACTCCCAAAAAAGGAGTTCAACTGAAATGGTAAATCCAGGTAAACATTTTACTGATGAGACTCTCCATGACAGTAAAGAAACTCTCTTTGAGCTGTATCTAACGTGAAATAGTCCTAATCCGCGAACACAGGATAAAAAGATGGAAGTGATGGACCTACAGCTGATCCCTAACTGCCTCCCCTTCACCCTACACCCCAAATATCTGTTGATGAGTCACACACTCTCCTAGACATTTGACACATGTGATTTTTTTAATGTTTTCTTAAAAAAATACAAAGGAAATTAACTCTGTGGGTCAACACATCTTGCAGAAAGGGGAAAAAATGGAATTTCAAAGCAAAGGGAAAGTGCATCTTTGTTTAGGTTATTATCCCCCACACCCTATACCGATAAAGCAAAAATTTCACTCCACAACACAGAGGAGCCTTAAATGGCTGCTCAGAAATAATGATAGCAGACGTAATGGAACGAACAAGAGTTTTGGTTCTCCTTGATTATTCTGGGATAATAACTGATTGTACAAGGATGAATAAAATCCACTCTAAGGACAAGTAAGGAAACCTATAAAAGGAAAAGAACTAGATGTACCACACAGCAGTAAAAACCACTCCTTAGTAGAAGTGTGTGCCCTTAAAATAATGGGGTACTAATCAGGTACCTCAACTACTAGGCTGCTGCCACCACCCTGTCCCAAAATAAATAATATGGAAGTGTAACAATGTAGTAGTATTTGATTCAACAAAGAAAGGAAGTTTCTCACCCAATGAAGGCAAGTATTGCCATGGTTAGATGAAGCTTGGCAGGGATTAAAACGATTGTAAAATCACAGGTACTATTAGTTTATGTCCAAGCATACTGAATTCTCACATTTATGCCACCTCCTCTCATCACAACATTTGTTCTCTCTTACTCTTTCGGATGATGGTCTCCAGTGTCAAGATGTGAAAACACTCTAGTTTGGAAAGAACTTAGGGAAATAAAAAGATCCTTCAAATACACCCATTTCACTCTCTCAGGTGATATCGTCAATGGTGTTCCACGTTCACTCACAGTTTATTTCACATAGTTTCTCTAGCCTCAGACATCAAACCTGTCTCCTAAAGGAGTGTCGGGTAACTCTTTTCTCCTGACACTCTAAGTTTTCAGAGGACTCTCCCGCTATTTTTCTTCTCCAGAACAGAACTGTGTTACCCTTAGCTACATGTAGACTAGAAAAGGCATTTGTTCCTGGGAAAAAAACAAACAAAACACTTGGGAGTGTACCAAGCTTATTCAAGTTGATATCCTTCCAATCACCTAGGCTGGATACTGCACACATCGAGTAGGCCATACTCACCTTAGTTTTCAGAAATACAAGAAGCACAATATATATGAATTCTCCCAAGCACATGACAAGAGAAAGTGCTCCCAGACCATGGAGAAGAGATGTTCATGGTCTCCCATATCCATTCAATGTGCATTCTCTTTCCACAAGTGTCTGTTACCCAGACTTCTCAGGGATAACTACCATGGCGAGGGGGAGTGTCAAATAAGTACAATCATCACCGCACTGGTGCCTGTAATCACCCTTTGCACACAGTGAGAAATAGACATTCTGGAAAGGATCCTTGATTCTCTCCACAACTGTCCCTTAGACTGGTCACTAGCTCTGGATGATGCTCCCACAATGGTCACTTCTCTCGAAGAACACACACACCCGCATCACAGCGCTGAGTGCCCATAGATGTCACGACTTCCCAACTATCGATGATAGGATCATAGCACTCAATGCTACTCAGCAGGGAATTCCCATCATATCTGAGTGGAAAAAAAAAAAAAAAAAAAAATTTTTTTTTTTTTCAGTTCTTTTCCACACCAGTCCTTTGTCAAGGTTGTTACTGTCTCCATCCAGAGAGATCACAGACTCTTGCCCTAGATCTAAGATGACTCTAGCCTGGTTTCTAAATCCTTACCCTGCAATTGCATAGAGTCTGCCCCGCAGCACTGTAGCCCCTACATAGCATCGGGGGGTGGTCATACTAGTAACAGTCGTCCAGGAATCAGTACGAATGTTGTAGGCTTCAACGGAAGACAGGTGGGCTGTGCCATCAAATCCCCCCACCACATAAATATGGTCATTCAGCAGCGCTACTCCTGCACCTGGGGAAAGAGAATAGATGGCAAATAAACACTACTGAGCTTAGGAACTCAATTCTAGAAACAAGACAGGCCACTGATGACAAGGTCAATTCTAGGGTAGCTGAGGCAAGTGAACAGGCTGGGAACACCTACAATACCTAGTCCACCACAGGACTATCCCATCTCTAAGTCTTTTGGCTAGGATGTGAAATGAGAAAATAAATATTCACCTTCATTAATTCAAAGTCCAATTCCTCTTTTTAGGAGAAAAGGAAGGAGTGAAAACGGAAGGCACCAGAGGTGAAAGGAACACACTTTAGAAAAATCAACCTGATTAGGTCAAAAGGGCAGCATTTATCTAAGGCCACAGTTCAGAAGGGTTAGGAAAGAAGGAATGGAAATAGGAAACACAAGGAGGAAGTGGGCTAAGTGATGTTATATTGAAGGGATTGCAGTCAGTGAGATGAAACAAAATGCGTACGAATTAGTGAATGCAAAACTGATGATCTGCTCTATAAACCTTATCCAATTCATAATAAAAAGTTTGGAAAAAGGTAGAAGGAAGGAAAGGTATTATGACTATGGTTCTGGAGCAATTTTTATCTACAGGAAGTAAACTAGAATAATGCTTCCTCTTATATTTCAGCTTACTCTATTTCAAGAACTTCTTAGGGAAGAGCAACAGCTCCCTAAGTATTAAATGCACCACTAATCTGTTAGCTTCCCTTACTCTGATGGTTTGCGTGTTGCTGTGATGCTGGGAAGCTAGGCCACTTGTACTACAAATACTTCAGGGTCACCCATAGTTGAAAGATTCAGCAGAGCTTCCAAAATAAGAATAGGAAGGAGAGGCAGACCATCTCCAAAAGAGTAGCCACTGAAATTTTTATGAATAGCAACAGAATACTGGCTGATATAACGCTGGGAGATGAGTCCTATACGTTGGAAGGCACTCAAAATATGATTGGGGAAGAGCTGCCTCCTCAAAGTACAGTCGACCTTAATGACATGGATGGAGCAAAGCTTTTGGGACTCTCATTTGCTGATGAGTCATGACTTAAAATGAGAACAGTTGCAAACATCAAATAATAGTTGGAATGTGAAATGTCTAACATATGAAAATAGGAAAACTGGAAGTTGTCAAAACTGAACTGGAATGTAGAGAGACTGATAACCAAGGTATTAATGAGCTGAAATGGATAGGTATTGGCCATTTTGAGTTAGACAAAATATGATTAACTATGCCAGGAATAACAAACTGAAGAGGAACGGTGCCACATTCATCATCAAAAAGAATATTCAAGAGCTATCTTGAAGCATAATGTTGTTTGTGATAGGATAACCACTAAAGCCAATGATGAAGAAATTGAAGAATTTTACCAACTACTTCAGTCTGAAATTTATCAAACATGCAATCAAGATGTGTTGATAGTTACTGGTGATTATTGTTAGGTGCTGTTGAGTCAACTCCGACTCACAGTGACCTTATGCACAACAGAATTACACACTGATGGGTCCTGCACCATCCGCACAGTCATTGTTATGCTTGAGCCCATTGCTGCTGCCATGGTGCAATCCGTCTCATTTGGGGAGGGGTCCTCTTTTATGCTGACCCTCCACTTTACTAAGCATGATGTCCTTGATTGTGGATCCAAGCAATGTGAAGTCTTTGACAACTTCAGTCTTTTCTCCATTTATTATAATGTTATTTGCTGATCCAATTGTGAGAATTTTTGTTTCCTTACATTGAGGTGCAATCCATACTGAAGATGGTAGTCTCTGATCTTCATTAGTAAGTATTTCAAAGTCCCTTCACTTTCAACAAGCAAGGTTGCATCATCTGCATATTGCAGGTTGTTAATGAATCTTCCTCCAATCCTGATGCCACCTTCTTCTTCATATAATCCACTTTTGCGGATTATATGCTCAGCATACAGACTGAGTTAAGTATGGTGAAAGGGTACAATGCAGGCTCACACCTTTCCTAATTTTAAACCATTCAGAGAGCCCTTGTTCTGTTTGAACAACTGGGTTTTGGTCTATGTATGGGTTCCTCATCAGCACAATTAAGTGCTCTAGAATACCAACTCTTCACAATGTTATTTATTCATAGCTTGTCATAAGCCACATAATCAAAAGCCTTTGAATGTCAATAAAGTACAAAATAAACATCTTTCTGGTATTCTCTGCTTTCAGCCAAGATCTGTCTGACAAGAGCAATGATATTCCTAGTTCCAAGTCCTCTTCTGAGTCCAGCAAGAATTTCTGGCAGTTAGTTACCTGTTGATGTACTGTTAAGTCATTTTGAATTATCTTAAGTCAAATTTTGAAGTCCTGGTCTGGTGATATAGAATAATGCATTGGACAATAATGTAAAAACCATAAAGCTGGCCGTTCAACCCACCATCTGCTCCTCAGAAACCCTATACAGGGTTGCTATGAGTCAGAACAGACTCGACAGCACTTAACAACAAAAACAAAATTTTACTTGCAAGTGATATTGTTATGGGCACAAATACAGATCTCTCCCAATCAGCTGTCTAAATAGATAGCTGTCTTCCCAACTTCTTGGCATGGAGAGTGCCTCCAGTGCTGCATCAGTTTGTTTAAAGATTTCAATGTATCAATTCTTAGAGTCTTGTTTTGTTTTGTTTTTTACCAGTGTCTTCAGTGCACCTTGGACTTCTTCCTTCAAAACCATCGGTTCTTGATTATATGCTACCTCTTGAAATCGTTGAACATGAACCATTTCTTTTTGGTACAGTGACTCTTTTTTTGATGCTTTCTGCATTGTTCAGTATTTTGCACATAGAACACTTCAATATTTTAATTTGAAGCTTGAATTTTTTTCTTCAGTTCTTTCAGCTTAAGAAATACTGAGCCATGTTCTTCCCTTTTGGTTTTCTTAACTCCAGATCACTGTGCATTTCATTTTAATACCTGACGATGTCTTCTTGAGCTGTCCTTTGAAATTTTCTGTTCAGCTTTTACTTCCTCATTTCTTTTCTGTTTGTTTGGGTTTTTTTTTTAAGGTTTTCACTGTGTATTGAGTGAAAGTTTACAGGGCAGAACATCAGTTTTACATTCAACAAATCATACACCTTTTTTCATTGCAATGATTATAAACCCTCCGTGTCCCATCAATTAACAGTATTTCTCTCTATTCACTTTAGCTTTTTTTAAAAAAACCATGCAGGCATATATAATAATTCACTCCTCCAAAGGGCACATTCTGCAAGAGTGCTTCCTGGCCACCAATTCTTAGTGCCACTCTTCCCATGAATCTAGAGTCCTTAGCCATGACCCCATCTCTGCCTCTGTTGCTGCTTCTCTGGATAAGGTTCCGCATTCTGCTTGTGCTCTTCTCCCTTGATGGTCCTAGGGTCCTCTGTTTCTGGACTGTAAAATTAACCACTCCCCTGTGTTTGTTATAAAACTTCTACCTTTACAATTGTGACAGTCACAATTAATCATGATAACAATTCAGTGGGGACTCTTTCTCCCTGCCCCCATACTCTTAAACTCCCTCTTGAAACCTTGTAAGCCAGTTACTTCATGCCTTTATTGCCCCCTCATTTTAGGTAGCCAATGTCTAAGTTGTCCGTCCTTATCTACCCTCTGTACAAAGGGGATAGCACTGATACTTCATGTGAAGACTCCTTCCCTCTCTGTTGGTATTTAGAGTTACGACCTCCATGAATATAGGTCAGGTTCATCAAATTGTAGCAATTTACCCTCGCTTCCTTTATCCCCCAAAAAATGTGTGTGTGTGTGTGTGTGTGTGTGTGTGTGTGTGTGTAATCTTCCTCTAGTCGAGTTCTGATTATCAAGCCATCAAGACTAGGTCAATGGGTACTGTCTGCAAGTTTGGGTGTTCTTGTGCATCTCCCCTCACTTTATATCATCTGGATGCTTCACTCTCAGCTCTAGTCCTCTATGGCTATGTCCTTGTCCATGGGCACAAGTCTCACCATACTTTGAACCAACTAGCCCTTCCTCTTCTGTCTCTCATCTCTAGGTCAACGGGAGTCAATGGACTGTGGTTGAATTCAGCCCATTTCTTCATTGCTGCCTTCCCCCACCCCTTTCACTCACCAGTAGACCAATGTGGTTGCCAGCAAGCTTACATGCCTGCTCATGTATTCCCTTTGAGTATCAGTCCTAGAGGGGAGTTTGTCCTGAAGGAACTTGATTGCTTGCCTTGATGGCTTCCTGGCAAACAGCTTGCTTATTCTTGTAGTAGCCAGTCATGTTGACATTTTTGTTTTGGGGTTTTTCCTGATCTTTCTTTGAAGATGCATCTTCTGTTGCTCTAGCTATTCCAGGCTGGTCTGCTTGTCCTTGCTAGTTGTAATGTCCCACTTCATAAGGTTCTGATTGGGACTCAGGATTCCACCTATACTCTGCAAAGGCTTTGCAAGAGGCCTGTTTCACTGGGCAAGTTCTAGAACCCCATTCAGGCCTTTTTCCTAGTGATAAAACAGTTCAGGGTCGGCTGTGGCCATTTTGCACTGCTATTTGGTTTTAAATGGAAACTGTAACTTTAAATTTCAAGATCTGTGGGCATGTGTAGTAGAACCCTCGCTCAGGCAACCCCTCTAGTCACCAGAATGGTGGTTTGCAGCCAGCAAGAGACCAGTGAACAGATAAAAGAAAAAAATAGTAAGTGTCCACACCTTTATCTCTGTGGTTCTGTCAGGAGTCCGTGGCTGCTGATCCTTTTCCCTCTCGGTCTCTCCAAAGATGGTGGCTCCAGGAGCAGCTGCATGTCTTGAATTAGAAAGCATTGGATTTCTTGCTTCTCTACAAATTCCCCTAGCTGTAAGTCTTCCAACCTTCTAAATATTCCTTTATATGTGGTTCAGAGTTATGGCACCATCCCCTGAACCTGCTTGGTCCGGTATTCTGTGTTGTTGCTGACAGAGCTCCTCACTGCAAGTCTACCTGATCTGCCATCTTGTTTGTTCTCCTCCATCATTTTTTTTGTTTGTTTGCTTTAATATCTCAATGCAAGAGAGGAA